AATGCTTTAATAGATAATCCTTATACTGAGGAGGAGCTAAATAACACAATTGGCCCAATTTTAGATTTTATTCGAGATGTAGTAGATACTAGAGATATTAATAGAGTTTGTAAGACAGTTGCAAGAACTATTGATACCTTAATTGTACAGGGCATGTTTTTGGGAGATATATTAGATGAACTTAATAATAATATTTAATAAAAAGTACTAATATTAATTAATTTTATATTGGTATTGCGCTTAGTTTTTAATTTAAAAAGATTAACAATTTTTAAGTTCTTTAAGTAAATTTTTAATTACTCATTTATTTAATATTTAAACAGTTCACCATGGAATATCAGTTATTTGCAAGATTCCATAAGGTCGATTCGGCAGCAAAAATAGTGTATAGCCCAACAGAATATAATTTAAGTGTTTTTTTTTATAGTTTATGCCAAATAATTTATAAGGATAGAATTCGCCATAATAGGTACCATTATAAGTCTTTAGATTGGTGCCTAGGTAGGGCGAATGTAGTTAGTAATACTAGTTTCACCAGCACTGATTTAAATCAATTTGAAAACCATCTGGTGGCAGCGGCCCAATTTTTGTTAAATTGTGAGGACCGGAGGAATGTTCCTCTGGCTCTTTTGTCATTAGCACCAGGGATAAGCAATCCACATGCGTTACTGCTTTTCCCTCAGGTGCCGATTAAATATCAACCGCTAGGTGTCTCACCAAGGTCACCATCTATTTTATCTGCACAAGACATAATAGCACCTAGACCTATTGCGGTAGTTAAAGGCTACCGTAGAGAACAATAGACATTCGTTTTTTTTTACTTATATTAACTATCACCAAATTTATTATTTTAGCATTTTTTTAGTATACTAAACAAAAAAAAAAAATTATAAGAAATAATAAAAAATAAAAAAAAAAATAAATTAATATATATATTTTATTTTTCTAAATTTACATACTAGATTAACTTATTTTATTGATTAGAATTAGGTATATTTTTACTTTTAATTATCATTTTTTTACACCATATGCAAACAATAATTAATTTTTATTACTAAAAAATTGTATTATAATAACTTAATATAATTAATCAATAATATTTAGATAACTCAAATCAATGTATTACACTGAAGAATTCGTAATGCAAGTTGAGGAATTCATAATGTCAGGAATTTGCAATAGACCTTCTTTTCCTACATCACCTGATGTCACGAAAAGAGATGATATTTATTTTAATAATTTTATACAATTAACCCATCAGGATATCTATATATCAATTCCTACTCATAAATATAACTTAAGAAATAACATTACTAAAACTTACAAAACTTTATCAATGTTAGTAGAAGATGCTAATGAAATGTTACATCTATCAGGTAGTGAATTATTTAGCACAGAGGAATTGAGTGAAATAGAAATAAGCTTGAGGTTAGCCGCCCAACATTTAGCAGGGTGTGTTAACACAAAAGATGAATGTATGAGTTTAGTTGTATTAGCTATGAACACAGATATACCTGTGCATTTATTGTATTATCCAAAATACCCTATTAGAACATTCGGTTTATATGAATATTAATATTTATTAGTTATCAAACTCAATATATCTATATCAAACTAACTTTAATATATATACCTATTGTTATTTACAATACTTATACTAACACGTATTAATTAATTATTTTTTTGTATAACTTTAATTATCTTTTGCAATATGTAACTTACAAACATTATATTATGTACAAAAAAAAAAAAATTATGTCATGATTTTGAAATTGTCATATTATAACTATGTTTTGTATATGTTATGTATTCTTTTGTTTTACTAATTAACCACATTTTATTGTAAGCACAATTACATTATGTAATAATTGCACAAAACTATTAATGAACTTTATTATTCAAATTAACTATATATTGTTACTATTGTAAAATTAGATGACTGTTACATATTTGTCATTCTTTATATTCACATATTATTGTTTATTTTCAATTATTTATGTTATCTATGTAATGATTAACTAACATGTATTTTTCAAATTCTTAGCAATATTTGTAAAATTCGCTGGTCTAGTTCGAAGTTAGTCTTTAGAAGCCTAACTTGCGTCTTTCGGGGGAGGTGTTATGAACATAACCTTCAGTTACCCTCTACACACCATTACACAAAACAACCAACTACACTAAGCATAATAATACTCATATTATAATAGCTCTCTGAGTCATACATTGGCGTACCTATACGATAGATGACTAATAATTATTACAGAGCGCACCTGCATGGTTATCTGGCGTAGTGATTGAATTATATTACAAATATATATATATATCAATACTACTTTAGTCCGTTCCGCTTTGATAAGCTATTTGGGAAAAACATGTTATTGCCATTCTATAAGATTAGATTGCCAAAATAATGCCAATTAAAATAATCATACGATGAGCGTTCGCTGTAGCATCCGCCCATCGGGTCAACACAATTCACACAATAACACATTACACAGATTAGCATAACCATATAAATAGGAGTAGGATCTAAGCCTATTCCAGACGAATTATTACACTCACGTTGAATACACTTATGTAGCTGTTGTCTACGCACTTTTACTATACAATAAATTTTATACTTATATTTTGAAAAAGTCTTAACTTATTTTAAAATCCATCTTCCTGAACTGGTTTCAAATTGAACAACAAGATACTTTTTGATCTTAATACATCACCAAGCATCACAAAATTGTAGTTAACAATGAAAAGTATAAAAGTTGTAGGTATTTAATTTATCATTATCTTCAGGTAAGTGCCCCAATAGTTTTAACAAATGTGTCTTCATTCCTTTACACAAAACAGGAAATAAATAATTGTTCAGTAGTTATTATCTATTATTTCAGTCGGTAATTATAATTACTAGGGCTCTAGTTATAATTACTAGACTGTAGCCATTATAAACCAATATCGTTATCACTGTCTCTATCAAAAATATTTGAAAAATCATTAAATCCCAAATAATGAAGTAATATAATATTTAGTTATTAAAACATATTTACATGGTTTTACGAGTTTTTATAGTTGAATTTGAATAAAACTAAACATATGGTTTTCAATATTCAAAACTATTTTAATCTGGATAACTTATAGTTTAGAGGTCAAACTGTGTAGAGCTACAAAATTGTGTTTCATGAATTATGATTCATATAAGATGTAACTGCGTTACTATTAAAAAGAAAATAGTTGTATACTTTGATTCATTGATAACTGACTAAAATGAAAATATCAAAAATATTGAATATGTTATAAAACTATTCAATTATTATCAAGACATTATTTATATATATCTATAGTTTTTAGATAATAGCAGGTATTGTTAAGGGTTAAACTTACTAAAGCTAATTTATTATTTAAATGTTGAATCTATAATTATTTACTACATTATACTATGCATATAAATAAAGATAACGGTATCTGGACTTTATAATACAATTTATATCGAACACATCATTGTATACTCAAAGAGAGTATTCAATATGTTAAACATCCTTCGTTTAATCGCATTATATAATATCCCTTGTATTACAATACACAGATACAAATCAGTCGTTATCGAGAGTAAACGTGTCTATGAGAACAGATTTAGAAAAAATACATTTGGTTTACTTTTACTTTATTGTGTCAAAAACTACATCTAAAAACTAATGCATTTCTAAATAATAAAATTATAAACAAATATATACTATATACTAAATACGCTTTGAATTTTTATCATAATTAAATATTATTTAATTAAAAATTATCAAAAAAGTAAGTGGTTATTAAAACATGTTTTCAGTTGTAAAATAACACAAACAAAAATGTTTTGAAAAATAATTTTACCTAATTGAAATTATTATGAGAGAAAATTAGTCAATCACACTATATAATTAAGCTAACCAAGAAAAAACAACTTTTATTTCTAAAAAACAATATAGACTTCCTGTCTATCAGGCTACCTAAAGTAACACAGTATACATTTCAGACCAATTTTATAATTTATAAAGTACAATTCATAAAGTTTGATAAGTCATTTAAATAAATAATAAATAGTAATAATAGAAATAATAAATGTAATAGTTTAAAACACATAAAATAATCTGGTAAAAAGTATAAATAGTATAAAATGATACTTAAGTAAAGATATTTTTTAACTAAAAATGTATATATTATAAACTAAACATCAAAATTTACAAATGTATAATTACTTGGTTTAGCAAAAAAAAATTGTACCGTTTTTTTTTTTTAATCTAGGTATTCAAAATTTTGACTACACAATTTTTCCTAACAACATCAACATAATTTCACAACAGTTTACAAATTTTCAATCTTTTAGTTAGGTCAAGATATTTTTACAATAAATTAATATTTTAATGTTATTAAGGTAAGTAAATATTAATAAATAAGCAAATACAGAAGCTACATTTATAATTTATTTGGTAGGCTAATAATTATGTTTGTCAAAATTGTAATAATAATATACTGTTAGTATCGTTAAACTAAAGATACTTGTATTGACACTTAAAGTGTAAAAATATTCAAACAATAATACAAGTATTCAAAAAAAAAAAAAATTTAAACAATCTTAATTTTGTTTTAATGTAGTTGAAAATTAAAAATATTTAGCCAAATGAGATATCAGTGTAGTGGTCATAAATACAGTACAGTTTATATGGACGTTGAAGACAGGATAATAAGTTATTCAATAAGTAAACAACTGAATTACAGTTGATTAATAATAAATTATAATGAGACTTTTTTAAATAAAATTAAACAAAATATAAAGAGATTGGAGATGATACTACGATGTCTAACAGCAGGTAAACAGAAATACTGGGTGGTTTTAATAATGTTAGTCTGATACAGAATATTCTTCCAGGGGTTTTGCACAAAATCCAATTAACTTCAACAACAAATATTCAAATATAGTGTCAAAAATCCGTCTATGGATTACAGTGTCCATGGAGAAATATATAATATGTCCATTACATCTTCCTCTGGTCACATTCTAGCTGAAAAAACAACAAATGGTTAAATAATATTAATAATAATTATAATATAAAACCAATTTTAAATGAATTACTAATGTTAAGGTTTGTTAATTGTGAAGTTAAAATTAAATATAACGAAAATTGATAATGACATTTTTTTATACCATTTAACTTCCAACTTTTCATACCATTCAATTTAAATTATCTATCAATAACACTTGGAAGAGTGATTTCATGAATAGACTATATTTGTGACCGGTATATATCATGTGGACCTAGTTTGTTATCTCATACCAATGAAGCGTAAGATCTACAAGTAAATGCAATTTTTCTTGTACAAAAACTAACAATGTTAGAAAATAGTAAATTAAATGATTAAAAAGAAAGATAATTTACATTTGATTTCTTTTTTTTTAAATACCCTATATTAGGGTGTTTTAGATTGATATTAAACTAATTTTGTATCAATATTTGTATTAATACTACAAATCTAGAATGTTTTCCATACCTAATCTATTTAGACAAATGATAAAACAATTATTTCTTCCAGTTGGTGTCGATGGAGAACTGTTCAACCAGAATCTTTGACTCATCTTAAAACTGAAAGATATATTTTTAATAAATAAGTTAAAAGTTGAAATGTTAATTATTAAAATAATAGAGATTAAATCAATTAAAACAATTTTACAAAAAATAACTCCATACCTGTTACCACACTTAATCAGACTAGAGATAGTTTCAGGAATCGAACCGCTCTGATGAATAAGCATACCGATAAGCTTTTTATGACTTCAGACAACTACCATCATACTGTAAAACATAATTTACTTGTATTAATAGTTTTATTTAAATAGGATGTAATAATATTGTCACACAAATTAGTACAATATAGTGTATGTCTGAACTTTGTCGCTAGGTACTATAATTGATAAATATATTATGTTATTCATATTAAATATTGCAAGTTTATATTATGTGAAAATAAGAGTTTTGAATTATGAATTAAAAAAGAATTCTAATAAAAATATTCATTTAATATTAATAAGAAACGAAAGTAAATTTTATTTACCAATAATTATCGTTGTCGTCATATGAACTAGTTGGTTTTTTGTCATTATAAATGTATCGTAAAAATGTGTACTATTTAAGAAAATATAATATATTTTAACACGGTTATTTTTTTTATCATTTGAATTATTGCCGTTTAGTTCTAGAGATAACAGTTAACTCTGACAAACGTTAGTTATATTTTAGTTACTTTTATTCTGATAGAATTGGCAGACTGATAGAATGTGATTTTATATTTTGGTGTTTCTGGGTTGGTCACGCTGATAAAATAAAAATTGTGTTATCTTTTGGAAGAACTCTTATCTCTTATCATTTTTTGGAAGAACTGCCCTGAACCCGTTGATAGCACTTCATAAGTCTTTACATTTAAAACGAATGTATGCTAATAAATTTTAAATTGCTTAATAAATCCATATTAAAACCCGTAAACTGTAGATTATCTATTAATTTATTAAAACAAATAAAAGCAAAACTGAATCATAATATTTCTCGGTACTTACTATTTAACAACTACAATGGTAGTTGACTAAAAAGCTACTTGCAATGCTCTGCTTCTTAGACATAAAAAAAAGGTAGTAAATCACACACATAATGTTGTTCGTATATTGTAGAAACTCAACAACACAAATTTTTAAAAAAATCCGAGTCACTTTGGGCGATAGTCGATACACAACAATGTTACAGAATAACGAATAACGCTGTGTCATGTGTGCATTCAGCATTGTGCATTGTTTGACAACAGCGGAGGATGCCAAGGCCACCTGGTGGTAGAAATTAGAACTAATTATAGCATTTGTATTTATTTACCTTCACTCCGTTTTACCTCCAGCTTGCTGTCGGCCGTTATTATTTGTCGCACACGCATAAACATCATTATCATTTATCAAGTAGATTGTTGTCTGTAATTTGTTTATGTCTGATCTAAAGCCATAGTTACTGTTATTTCGAAGAGTTATGTTGTTGTGTGTTGTGTATTGTTGACAAGTACTCGCATATTATTAAAAAAAAACATAAATTAAGTGTGTAATTTTATAATTGTGTTATCCGACCATAGATCATAGCCTTAGAACCGCCTTATTGTAGCTGAATAATAGTAAGTACCGACAGACATTTTCATTGTGCTTAAATGCGTTTTGCCGGGCAACCTTTTTTTTTGCGATTTTTTTATAACCGTCTTGTATTATTTTTTATGCTGACTACGATTCTGTAGTAAACAATTGGCGGAATCTTGTAGATCAGGCTAGGTTAGGGCTCATTAGGTCGCTAATGCTTCTTAAGCGGTAGGTAAGGTTAGTTTAGTTATTAAGGCAAGTTTTTTTTCCTTCAGGGGCGTGAGCCCCCCATCCAGCAAAGAGTGCCGAACGGGCTCGAATCGGCTCCTGAAGCTAGCAGGCGTAGAGTTGTTTTATTAGTAAAGATTTACTAACTTAAAGGTTAAATACTTAAGAAAATTGTATTGTTGTTCAATACAATATTGATATTATATAATCTATACAAATAAATAATTAACTAATAATTCTATAGCAGCGCACCAGATGCCACCTCTTTCTGTTGTAAATTGACTTGATGACCTCGTATAACGCATTGAAAAGGTTTTCTATTTATTTGTTAACAAGAAGAGTTATTATTTTTTTCCTATATAATGTGCGTTTTGTAAAATAGTTAAACTTTGATTCTTTTACACAATTTATCATAACTACTATATTATTTATTCATAGATTACTATAGCAACTTGTTTTCTTCATGAAAGTTCAAACTCTGTGTCAAGAATGATATACTGGGTTTTTTTTCAATATCTATTTTTTGCCATGTTATTTAGTTAATTCACAATTTTTATTTTACAAGGAAAAAACTAATTTTTTCCTATATTTCAATCAAATGTACCTAAACTACTGAATTAATGTACAACATTGAGAATTAAAAAAACGTTTGTTGTTATTTCATTACCTTAGATTTAGAAGCTTGTGCGCCTAAATTGGGCCGTTCCAACTCAATATATTTACTAAAACCCTTCCAAAAATACATATTGAATTTAAAAACTAAAGTTAAAAGATCATATCCATATATTCAATTAATAAAAAAATGTTGCTCGTAAAACCTCTAGTGTCTTTTTTTTACTAAGACGCCTGAACTCACTTATGATTCATTTAAATATGCTTAAACTCCAGCTTTAGTTATTTTGATAGATTAATTATAAATTTTTATCCTAATTTTTGCAAATATGCTTTGTGTTTTACAGTTTATAAAGTGAAAAACTAGCTAAGAATTTCAATTAAAATGGATGATTATAACTGCGATACCATGATCAAAATAGAGGAAGAAAATGAAGATATAAAATATCAATTTCCCGTAGTATTAGTGAAAGAAACAAAACCAAAAGACCTTGAAAAATCAAACAAGAGTTGTTCAACGACCAACAACATTCCTCAAAAGAATATTGACGGAGATGCTTATAAGTAATGTGATTTATAATTATAAAATTTAAAGTAAATTTTGTTCAAAAATGGTAGTAACATTGTTAAGGTATCAATAAGTATTCTATGGCAAATAACTAGGTGTATGTAATTTTGCATCATAACATTCAATGTCGGTGCAGTCCACCCAAACAATTTCAATGTTAATAATAAAATAATACCTACTATTAAAGTGTTTAGTGTTTACGTTTCCATACTATGTGCTTTAAGGAATAATATTTTACAATATACATAATATGGCAAAATTAGCATTATACGAAATAGAAAAAAAATCAATATAGGTTTTTTATTATTATTATTTTATTATACTTAAATTAATTTGTCACAGTAAGCAAAAGTGCAACAGATTTTACAATTGAAGGCAAACACTTGTAGTTTAATACTTTACTTAACCCCTCGTTGGTAAACATGTTAGCGCTGCGCTTACACAGATAACGTTTTGAACGCCAGTTGTATAAATGTTTGTTAATTGGCTTGATTTTATTATTACCTTCAAATAATAATAATAAAAAAAAAAGAAGCCGCTAACTATATTTCCTCGGGATTTATCAGTGAACAAAGTTGACTGTACCGATAAAGTGAGCGCCACAGTTTATCAACTGTATTTTACATATTATTGTGTATCCTGGAGTAACATGCAATCTCCTCAGAAAGTGACTGAGCTTAATTATTTTAAATTATTAATTTTACAATTTAGGTTTTTTTTACGTTTATTTAATTTATTTTTATTATTTTGTACTATACCATTTAAAAATAAAATAAAATTTCGGTTTTTTATTTTTATTAATTTTGTAATAATAGTAATTAAAAATAATATATTACCAATTGGTAGTGAGTAAAAAGATGCATATTTGTTTGTATGATTTAATGTTCTGAGTTTATCGAGTAATTAATAATAATGGAAAAAGTAACGTGTGAGCGCTTACAGTTTAGCAATCATGTTCTACAGTATAGATTTACCAATGACAAAACACGACACTTATTGAATATAATGTAAATATAATATAATGGCTGCATTCCTTATCCTAGACCCTGGAGGTGTTGCCAACTATATACAATCTGATCCCACATTTATATATATTGACTGACACCAAAGCATAATTTGAGGATACAAATATTGATAAGAGTGCATAGGAGTTTTTGATTTGCTCATTATTACAGTTGATCTAAAGTGCCTTAACTTGATTTTAATACCGATACAACAGTTGTCCGACAACTCACAACAATCAAAACACAATTGACATATGAGTAAAATGATTTTTTAATTAGAACATTTTAAGTATATTTTGTTAAAAAATTATATTAACATAACAGGGTATAACAGTAGGGCGGTATTCTATTGCAAATTATTTTTAATTTTCCTTAAATGGGTTAAAGCATATTTTCCGATACAAAACAGTTACATTGTTGACATAATACAAATACAAGAATATATTTTTTTACAAATATAATTTATGTTTACCAGAAAATAAATTATTTAAAGGGAAATAGAAACTTAAACTTGCTGTTAGTATTAGCACCCTTTGTATGGATTATTTTGGATGTTTACATATACATAAAATTAATTTTTAGATCATGTGAGTTTTGAATATATTTCATAGTAGTTAATGTAATCTAAGGACAGTCAAGGCTTAAAGTTTTAATTTAATACTTAGTTATTATATATATATATGAGTATGCTTATCATGGTGAATTCCTAGACCTTTGTAGTTTATCCTAAATAGGTAAAGAAGTGTTTTTTTATTACATGACATTTAATATTGGTTTATTTTAATATAGGTTTTATATTGATTCTTTAGTATCAAGTAATCACTTGTTTAATGAACACTTAGGTAAGAGACAGTGGGGGGTGGGGGCAACCATACAAATGTTTTCATTTTCATTTCTAAATCTGAAACACATCACAATGTACACGATTTACATTTTTTGTATCAACCAACGGCCAACCACCAAAAATAAAGAAAAAATGTTTCTTAATCTAACGTTTTATTTATCGATAACTCAACATTTTTTAACCACAAATATTAATATTATTAATATTAGAGCTAGGTACCAGATTAACTTCTGGTATAAGTTCGTTTTCTACAAAAAAGGGTATAATGTTATTTTGTAAAACTTTTAATCCGTTTTTGTAAATTAAAAAAAAAAAACATGTCAACTTTATAGTTTATTTTAAGGATATAAATATTGGTAAAGCCCTTAAGAGACGACAACTGAAGCTCCCATTGTTCCAAATGTTATTATTTTTTGGATTATAGACTTTAATCTATGGATACATTACATTATGATAACGATATAAGAGTTAGATCCTTGGGAAGGACTTTGCAATAAAGCATTCTTCGCACTCCTAGGATTTCTAATGCAAATTATGTTAATAATAAAATGCATGTTTTGTGACCATTTGACTTGCTTCATTTTTATAAGTGACCGTGTTTGATTTCTGCGATGAATTGACGGGACACCAATTTATAGACTTCTTTTAAATGTACTAATCAACCAACAACAACAACAAACTTGAACTATGTTCGGATTAACTCCCAATATCCCCAATGGAATTATTATAATTGCAACTTTTATAATTAAATTACATATAATTTGTTTTATTTTTTAGTGTTCCTGAAAAGAAAATTAAAGTTGAAATTATAGACGAAACTGATGATTATCACGGTTCTGTTAACAGAATAGATGAAGATATGAAAGAAAACTTTACCGAAGCTTTAGTGGT